AAAAAAAAAAAAGATATCAGAAACAGTTAACAATGCTTAAACTACCCAGAAAATTCATATTAAGAGATTTTTCTAGGGGATAGAGTGGTGTAGCATTTGGGAACAGACTACTCTTCCAAAAGACCCACGTCAGCCCCTAAGGGGCCTTTCATGGACACCACACTCACATGCATATATACCCCCCCACAGACACGTGTACATGCATATCATTAAAAAAAGCTTTAAAATTTTTTAGCTGGTGTGGTGGCACACACCTTTAGTCCTAGCACTAAAGGGCGCAGGCAGATCTCTGAGTTCCAGGCCAGCCTGGTCTACAGAGTGAGTTCCAGGACAGGTTCTAAAGCTACACAGAGAAACCTTGTCTTGGGAATGAATGAATAGATAGATAGATAGATAGATAGATAGATAGATAGATAGATAGATAGATAGATAGATAGATAGATAGATAGATATAGATAGATAACCCTGTCGGGAATAAATAAATAAACAAACAAATAAATAAAAATAAAAATAAGTGCTGAGAGATTCAGAATAAAATCAAAATTCAGAGGCCATTCAACTCATCTGGGATGGCTCCCTAAGAACAGTAAGTTTTTAGCTGATTTTGAAGGAAAAGAACTTGAGTTGGTAGGAACCGGCAGCATTTTCAGATCATAGTAATCACAAGTTCAGAGTTTGGGGTTGAAATGAGCCGGAACCACACCAGACGCACTCCAGTGCAGCGGGGGACCATACGGATAGTGGGAGCCGTGGCGGTCTTAGAATCTGGGAAGAGTGAGGTGCTTGAGAGATCAGGTATTTCCAAAAGAAAAAGTGGGGGGCAAGGCACTTGCCCAGGGATCTCCTGGAGCCTGGTAACAGTGTTCCATCGGCATCGGCAGCTGGAGTACCAGAGGCAGCAGCTCCTGGCCGACCGGCAGGCCTTCCACATGGAGCAGCTGAAGTACGCGGAGATGAGGGCCAGGCAGCAGCACTTCCAGCAGATGCACCAGCAGCAGCAGCAGCAGCAGCAGCAGCCGCCGCCACCGCCCACCCTGCCCCCAGGCTCCCAGCCCATACCCCCAGCCGGGGCCGCTGGGCCACCCCCAGCCCATGGTCTAGCTGTGGCTTCAGCAGCGGTGGCCCCTGCCCCTGCTGGCGGAGGGGCCCCTCCGGGAAGCTTGGGCCCTTCTGAACAGATCGGGCAAGCAGGGTCAACGGCAGGGCCACAGCAGCCACAAGCAGCTGGAGCCCCCCAGCCTGGGGCAGTCCCACCAGGGGTACCCCCCCCTGGACCCCATGGTGAGTATGGGTTCTGAGTGTTGGTGGCTGTAGGGAGCCAGGCAGAGGTTGTTCCTGTGAAGGGAATACCTGATGGGCCTGGAGATAAGAGCTGGTTGCAGTTCCTACACATGGCCCCACTATATTATGTCCCCAAACCAGCAGGGATATCTGGAGTTTTATTCCAAGAATTTGCCACGTATTCCAGTGCCAGGAAAGGGGGGTGTGGCCAGCTAGTGGTTAGTGAAGCTTGAGCTGGCGTATAAGATTTTACTCTTCCCACCTCTTCGTTCTCTTTATTCCTAGGCCCCTCACCGTTCCCCAACCAACAAACTCCTCCCTCAATGATGCCAGGGGCAGTGCCAGGCAGCGGGCACCCAGGCGTGGCGGGTAATGCTCCTTTGGGTTTGCCTTTTGGCATGCCGCCTCCTCCTCCTCCTGCTGCTCCATCCATCATCCCATTTGGTAGTCTAGCTGACTCCATTAGTATTAACCTCCCCCCTCCTCCTAACCTGCATGGGCATCACCACCACCTCCCGTTTGGCCCGGGCACGACCCCCCCACCTAACCTGCCTGTGTCCATGGCGAACCCTCTACATCCTAACCTGCCGGCGACCACCACCATGCCATCTTCCTTGCCTCTCGGGCCGGGGCTCGGATCCGCCGCAGCCCAGAGCCCTGCCATTGTGGCGGCTGTTCAGGGCAACCTCCTGCCCAGTGCCAGCCCACTGCCAGGTGAGAAGGGGCCAGGAGGGGAAAGGGTGAGGGAGAGGGTGCCCCACGGTGCGAGGGCGGGCGAGAGGGGGAAGGGTTAAGACGCCAGAGCTCCACAACCGTTTCCAGCACTCCGGCAAAACTAGACCCAGGAGGAAGGGCCTCTCTGGCTGTCCTCCATTTCCCCATTTGGCAGCTGCCACCTCTGGGATGACGTTGGGGCCTTTCACTGGTGGGTCCTGGAGGAGTCCGGTGGCACAGAGGACCTCAGTTGTGAACCTGGAAACTAGCTACCCATTTGCATGACGATGGCGTTCCTTTGCTTGTTCCCATCACATTCAGATGCCCCCATTTAGAGTCCTTGGGGGCAGGAGGATGGTTTGGGATGTAAGATTTTCCCAGCGCCAGGTGAAAAGGGTATTGGGGGGTAAAGAAGTTAAACAGAGTGGGTACCTCATTCATCTACCCACCCACTGCATGCCATGCCCAGTTCTGTTTGTGTGTGGAGCCTGGGGCTGGATCCATCTCTCTGCTTGCTCCAGCTCATTTACCTTCCTTTTCTCCACAGACCCAGGCACCCCCCTGCCTCCAGACCCCACAGCTCCGAGCCCAGGCACAGTCACCCCTGTGCCACCTCCACAGTGAGGAGCCAGCCAGCCATCTCTCCCCCTCACTCCCCATGGAGATCACAGTTCCAGGAACAGCCCTTCCCCACTGCGGGACCCTCCCTCAGCCTGGAGAGTTCGTCACTACGTAAGGAAAGCTCCTGCCCCTCACCGTCCCCACCATGACCAGCAGAGGTGTGCAGTTTTAGATCCAGTTCTTAACCACGGACTTCTGACTAAAAGATGTTTCTAATGCCTGGGAGAGAGAATAGGATGCAGACGGTGCCTCAGAGGGAGGGGTAGGGAAAGATGTTTCTAGAGGTTCTACTAACCACTTCCGAGGGTTTTTACCCCCTTCAGACTCACTGCAATTTTGATAACAAGTGGATAACATGGAAACGGAGCCCTTTAAAAGGGAGGTTTTAAAAAGACACATTGGAGCCCACAAAAGATAACTCTGAGGGGGAAGGGCAGGTCTTAGGAGGAGTTCAGGTTTGAGGGTGAGCTGTGGGGGTGGAATAGGGTACCAAGCCCGCCTCCCTGAGCCCCTTGGTAGTACCGAGTCAGCTCCCCTCACCCGGTCCAGTTTATTCACGCTAATCCCTCCTGCCGCTTGGCTTGTCATTGCCGCTGTTCCAGGCCAGCCCAGCTCAGCCAATGACCTTCCCCTCTGGATGTCAGCGTTGTGTTTGTTTTTAAAAGTCACCTGCTTTAGTTGATGTCAGCCTATGTGTGTTTGGTGGGGAAGTGTATCTTGGGGGGATTCCGTGGTAGGTGTTAGGGGAAGCAAGGGCCACAGTTGGGGCTGTTCTTCCCGCTTCCCTGGTTGTGTCTGTGAGTGCTGGGAAGGCCAGGGAGGACCAGGGAGCTCCAAGATGGGGAGTTTGCAAACTCTGACGGTTTGAAAAGCACTTAGGACCTACTTTTGACGGCAGGACACCGCTGACTTCTGCCCTTCCCACCAAGCCCGACAGAACCTCACTGGTAGCTAGGGGTTCCCTCCCCACGTGAGGACAAGGCCGGGGTGCAGCGCAGCCTGGCTCTGCCCCCACTGCTCCCCACTCCAGTTCCTCCTCACCCCCCCTGGACGCAGCAGGACTCCAGGCTCCATACCCGCTTGTCCTCCTGGCCCAGGGATCTTTCCTCCGCATCTTGGCACCTTTCTTCTGTTCAGAGTTTTCTGTAAAAGTTTCTTTTCTTTGTTCTTTTCTTTCCTTTCCTTTTTTTTTTTTCTTCTTTTTTTTATAAATTAATTTGCTTTCAGTTCCATCTTGTGGATGCCTCTGTGTTCTCTTACCTGTGGCTGCCTGGCAGGGGGCGGCCTGGGCTGGGGGCAGCCTTCCTGGAGTCCCTTCCTGGAGAAATGTGGACATTTATCACAGGCCCACGGTGTCAGTCTCTTGCCACAAGAGCCCGAAGGCAACCCAGCAATTAGGACTCACTGCAGCAGCAAACAGCAGGTCTCCCCTACTCTGAAAATCGCCCCTGACAGCACATCCCCACTGCACGGCTCTAAACCCTTCTAGACAGCGGCTACATTCCTTCCCTTATTAGGGGGAGGCAGCCCTCACCTGCTGCTCGTGTTGGCCCCAGCCCTGCAGATGTACTAATATGTCCTGGCATTTTAGTTCCAGTCAACACTGACAGGCTTTCCCACAAAGTGTTCGGTACTGAGAGGGGGAGGGGGGGGCATCTCAGAGAAGCCCTAAGAGGCCAAGAAATTTAACTTGACACAGAACAGAACAAAAGGATACCCCCACACACACACACAGCTAGCTTTGATCCTCTAGGGATTTGACTTGCTTCATTCCCCAAAGGGGAGCCTTTCGTTAACGAGGCCGCGGTCATTACTTCAGGCCCACTCCGCTTTCCCTAACCCTCCACTTTGAGCTTTGTCTCAGGACAGATACAGAACCTCCTCACCTCTTCCTCCCTCCCCCTGCTCAGGAAAGGAAACAGAACCAAACTAGGGCCAGGAGAGAGAACTTTATTTTGTGAAGGCAAACATCCAGAAGAGACCAGATGGGCAGGCAAGGTGCCGTGATGGGGGAAGCCTGGGAGGGGCCGCAGAGAACTCTCACTGGGCAAGGCACAGGCTCGGGATCTGCAAGCACCCTCAGCCATTCAGCACCATCCGGACAAGCTCTGTGGAGAGGAGAGGTGTGGAGTAAGCCGCGGAAGGGTTGGGGAGGGGCGCGCCACGGGCCAGAGACTGCCAGACCATGGAGGTGGCGCGAGGAACATGCCCACAGCCACCGACCCTGGGGTCACTTTGCAGAAGGGCCCCCTTGAGTGGCCAGCTCTCTGTCCCTGGCTCCCCTCCCACCAGCTGCTAGCCCCCTCCCCACCCCACGCCGAGGAGCAAGGACACAGCAGAGGCAGCGGAGTTCTACTCCCACAGCTACTGTCAGCACTGGCGGGAGGGAAGGGCAGCTCTGGGTTAGGGTACTCCAAGCTGCCCAGCAGAGGGATGGAGAAAGAACTGTCTGTTAGAGCAGCAGAACAGGGCAGGCAGCCCAGCCCCCTTTGCCAACTCTCCATGCTCCGGGGCCAAAGATCCACCATAAGGCAAGCCTTGTCTGCAAGCTGGTGAGGTTTCTAGACACCAGCACCAAGACCCTGTAAGTCAAACCTCAGGCCGGAGAGAAGGAAGGAGTACCACACCCCCAAGCTGCCTCCCTCCCCTCCCGAGCCAGCTCCATGCAGAATCATGCCAGGAGGAAGTCAGCTGGTAGTGGACTATGGGCAGGGGCTAGAGAAGAGAGACACCAGGGGGACACTAGAGAGGCTGGGAGGAGCCGTACCCGCCCCACGGGCCCGTCACCCCGACAGGATGTGCCTCACAAATGCTGCAGGAAGGAAGAGACATTAATGGTGAAGACAAGACACAGACATGGGGGGTGGCGGGGTCAGGCAGTGGGGGGCAGACATTCTGTTTACTTCCCCTTCCTGACCCACCCGTGACCCTCCACCCCTTCCGTAATGTCAACCCCCACAGCCCCCTCCCAGGCTGGACTGGGCCTGGCCCCCGGCTCCTGGCTCCCTTTTGGAGCCAGGTCTAGGAATAAAACATTGAGGTCCTATCCTCAACGTGCCCTGAGAGACCACTTCCTCCTCAAAGACTACACAGTCCGTCCCTCACCTTCGTAGTTGATGCAGCCATTGCTGTCCTCATGCCCCGCCACCAGCATCTCCACCTCCTCCTCCGTCATCTTCTCTCCTGAGAGGAGAGAACGTTTGTACAACTGGGTGACGGGTGAGGTATGTCAGGGTGGCGGCGCAGCTCCAGAACGAGGTCACAGAGCCTTACCCAGGGTGACAAGGACGTGACGGATTTCGGCACCCATGACGGTACCGTTCCCTTCCTTGTCGAACACACGGAGGCCTTCCACATAATCCTCATAGGTTCCCTGGTCCTTGTTCTTGGCCACCGTCTGCAGCATGGGCAGGAAGTGCTCGAAGTCCAGCACCTTCACGTTCATCTCTGCCAGGCAGGAGGTCAAGTGTCAGACGTGAGAAAGCACATGTTGGGACACAAGTGAACTGAGGACTCTGGCCCGAGAGGGGAAATCTACGGGATTGGCTCTTTGGGCCCTACAAAGATAAAGGGGTGCTTTTAGCTGAACAACCATAAACCCGCTGGCATGCGAAGTTCTTAGGCTCACCATCACTCTTGGGGTTCCCCAGGACCTTGAGCACCTCGGCGTTGGTAGGGTTCTGGCCCAGGGCCCTCATCACGTCCCCACACTGGCTGTACAGGATCTTGCCATCACCTGTTCGGTCGAACAGCTGGAAGGCTTCCTTGAATTCTAAGGATGCAGAGGAACAACAGCACTGGGGATTAAGACAGTCCTCACTGCAGACCTCTGCTGCGAGTTCAGCTTTAACCATGCTGGAGAAACGAGATACCTCGCCTGTACACCCAAGACTGCTCATAGGGATCTGTTTCTACCAACTCAAATGTCCCACATAAAGACACACGGCCTCTTCTTCCCCTTAGCACAAGGTGGTAGCCATCTGTTTATTTACACACACCCTCAGGCTGTGGCAGGCTAGGCTCTTCACTACTACACTGCCCGGTAGGAATTTGCCACCGCCCAGCTGGGTCCTGTCCATATAAGGAAGTAGCAGTGGCTAGGGACTCCAGGGTCATTCTAGCCTCCCACTTCCCACCCTTCCCCTTACGGAGATCTTATCTTCTGGGGAGGGGGCCGCTAAATCACATCCTTAGCAGACTTCCCAGTCCCCATCTTCACGAAATATCAAGTCACGGCTCTCTACACAACCCAAGCTTAAGGAGGGGACAGTTATCACAGGAGAGGCCAAAGTGGCAGGTTAGAAGATGCAGGACACAGGCGTGAAGAGACCCGACACACAAGTTGTTTCACATGCCCACACCACCAAAAACTCACCCAGAGCTTGGGGCTCAGATCTAGAGTGGAGGGGGGAGGGAGGAAGAAAGAGTGAGAAAAGAAAATGGAGGATCCGGAGAGGAGGAGAAGGAAATCCTCGGGGCACTCTCCCGGGAGTGCTCGGGAGATGACAGGCGGGGGTCAGAGGACAGATGCAGGAGGAGGGTGGCCCTCACGGTCAGGGGGGCCTCAGCTGGGGGTCCGAGCCCGCCTACCTGCGGTCTGGTCCTCGGTGAAGTCGCACTGCTCGGAGAAGAAGGGATTGGTCAGCGCCCCGACCCCGCGAGCCGCTCTCCCGGCCTCACGAGCCGGAGCACCGCTCCGGCTGCAAGCCGAGGGCTCGCTCCCCTCCCGCGGCAGAGCCCTCGCCCTTCCAATCCCCACCTCCGGCCTCCCAGGACCCGCGCTCGCCCACATCCGCCGGCTTCTCTCCCCGACCGCGGCTCCCTCCGTGCCCCCAGCCCCCCACCCCGACCCCCCCGGTACCCGGGCACGCGCGCACCATCTCGGCGGCTCGGCTCGGCAGGGCCTTTCCCGGCGGTAATGGCTCCGACTCCCGGACCCAGCCCCAGCCTTAGTACGGCCCGCGGCGCGTGACGTCACCGCAGCTTCCTCCAATGGGGATGCCGGTCTGGGCCCGTGCCGGTGACGTCACTGCATCAGTGCCGGGGCGGGAGGCCCCGCCCTCGGCCCCCGAACGCCCCGGGGCCCGCGGCCGGGAACTTTATGCAAGGCTCCCGGCTCCGAACTGCACCGAGAGCGGGCTGCGTTTGGGCCCCGGCAGGAGACAGGACTACCCACTTCCCTCCTTTCCCCTTCCTGAGAAGGAAAACAGTCGGAGACCACAGCAGGAACCATGTCTTTATTTCAGAACTCGGAGCGCCGCCTGGTGGCCGGAATGCGCGCCGAGCCGCGCGGGCGGTGGTAAGTGTCCGGTCTGCGCGTCCCGGGGGAGGGGGGGAGAAGTTGTCCAGACGACGGGAGGACGCGCTGCCTGCGCTTCTGTGCGGCGGGCCGAGGAGCCGGAGGGCTCTGGAGCTCACAGGCTCAGGATGTGCTTCAGGAAGGCTGCACGGGACGGGGTGAGGGCTTCAGAAGCTGACCCGAGGGTGGCCCCCCGGCCACACCAAGGACTCCCCGGGCCCCGGTCTGCCCCTGCCCCTGCCCCCTCACCCTCGTAGTTGATGCAGCCGTTGCTGTCCTCGTGGCCAGCCAGGACAGTCTCCACTTCCTCCTCGGTCATCTTCTCTCCTGGACCCCAAGCACAGTTAGAGCCCCCCCGCCTCCCCGGCCCAGCCACTCCGCCCCTCCCTGCCCTTTCCTTTCCATGTGGCCCACGTCCGCGGCGCCTTGGAACTGGTGAACGCTCTGACCGACAGGAAGCCAGCTGCAGGGGTTGACGTGCACGGGACCCCGCACGCACGAGTCCGGCTCGCAGCGGGGGACATGAGGCTCACACCTCACTCCCTCCGCTCTGCCCAGTGCTGGACACTTCAGCCTCTGGATGAGCGCGCCCCTCAGATTCTGCCTCCACAGCTCTTCCCAGCGCCCTCAGGACTCTCTAAGCCCATTCCAGGCTTTACCCGGCTCCTCCTGGCCCACACCCCCTTCTCCATCCCACAGTTCTGGTCCCGGCCTCACCCAGAGTGGTAAGAACATGTCTGAGCTCCGCCCCCATGACTTTGCCGTTGCCCTCTTTGTCAAAAACGCGAAGCCCCTCCAGGTAGTCCTCGTAGGTGCCTTGGTCCCGGTTCTTGGCCACTGCTTGGAGCATGGGCAGGAACGTCTCGAAGTCCACGCGTCGGGACTTCAGCTCTGGAAATTGGAGATTAGAGTTGAGAGAGAGGTCATTGAGGTGTAGGATCTAGTAGCATCCATCCCTCCCACAGTGACTGTCATCCCCTTAAGCATTCAGGATGTTTTCCTGCTGTGTTCAAAGGCTTTTGAAGCCCTGAGATCCAGCCCAGCATCCTTGGTCACCTTTACCAACGTTCTGTCATGGGAAACTGACAGTGTTGGGAGGCAGAGCGGCCAGGCACATTCAAGGCCAGCCAGAACAATGTAGTGAGACTTTTATCTGGACAGAAAAATAAAAAAGGAAGCACTGGGGACGTAGTAGAGTGTAGGACACACTCAAGATAGAAAGAGAAAACTGCTAATCCATGCGTGGTGGCTCACACCTTCCGTCCCAGCACTCGGAGGCAGACGGAGGCAGACCTCTGTGAGTTTGAGGCCAGCCTGGTCTGTGTAGTGAGTCCCAGGACAGCCAGGGCTGTTAGTGCTGCTGGGTTAGAGCTGCAGGTTCGAGGGCAGCAGATGCCAGAGTGGTGTCAAGGCCACCCTGAGTGACTCAGTGAGAACCTGCCTCAGAGTAAGAGTAGGTCTGCCGCTCAGTGGTGAAGGGCTTGTCCACCACGTACGAGGCGCTGGGTTCAACTCCAGCACCTCACATACTGGAGTGATCCCAGCACTCTGGGAGGCAGAAGACCAGAATTTAAAGTTATTCTTGGCTAGGATACTGAGACCCTGTCTTGGGGATGGGGGTGGGGGGATGGGGAAAGTCAGAAATGGAGGTCAGTTGCGCTCACTTTGGCAGCGCATATACTAAAATCGGAACGATCCTGAGATTAGCCCGGCCCCAGCACAGGGATGACACATATTTAAAAAGAAGGGGAGCTCAGTGTCCCAGGGCAGAACCCTGTATTCAGTCTCCAACACCAAGAAAAGAAAACGGAAAGAAAGCCCACATTCCAAGGTTCCTCTCACCATCACCCTTGGGGTTCCCCAGGACCTTGAGCACCTCGGCGTTGGTAGGGTTCTGGCCCAGGGCTCTCATCAGGTCCCCACACTGGCTGTACAGGATCTTGCCGTCACCTGTTCGGTCGAACAGCTCAAAGGCCTCTCTGAACTCTGAGATGTAAGGAGAAGGCAATGTTGACCAGGGCCCCCATCGCCTCCAGACATGAGGGAAGTTTCCTTCGGAAATTACGTGCTAGGGCTGGGCAGAGCACTGTGTGCTACAGCTGGACCAAACCAGGGAGGAAGACTGGACGTGTGGGAGGGTTCAAGGTCAGGACTGTAGTTAAGAGAACAGAGAATCTGACCAGGGTTTGGGATAGGACAATGGGGCTTAGGAAACGGCTTCTCCTCACCCTCCAGCTGGTCCTTGTTAAACTCGATCTGTAGGGGGAAAAAGAGCAAGTGAGGAGAGCTGACAGGGCCTTTTCCATCCCTCTCTCGCTCTCCCAGCCCGCTGGCAGCCACTTGTGGGGAGGGGCCCAGAGGGGTGAGGCTGGGAGCCCCGCCACTTCAGTCCATTCCCTGCTCTGGGCCTTGGGAGAATCCCAAGAGGAATTATAGGGGGGAGGGTTTCCTGGGAACAGGGTTAATCCCACACCACCTGTTCCCCTCCCTCCACTGCCCTGAGTCCTGCATCCCTCACATAATTGGGGGCTGAACAAAGGCTAAATTTACCCTGCCCCCAGCTGTGATTGTCTAACAAGCCGTCCTCTTCGGTCCCCCCTGAAGTTCAGAGATGTGGCCTTTTGAGTTAAACAGCTAGCCAGGGGCAGATAGCAGCTCTCTCCCTTCACCTTGAAACTGGCCTGGCCTAGGATCCCCCAATCTCATTATATTGTTCATTCATTCCCTACCACCACCACCACCACCCCCACACACACACATATTCCCTAGTGCCCCAGACTGTATAGCATCCGTGAGCCACCCTTTCCAAATTCCCACTTTGCTGGCACTCACCACCACTTTGGAGAGGTCAACAGGAGGCTCCTGGGTTTTGGCCGGGGTCTGGGGGGCAGATGGCTCAGCCTTGGTCTTGGCTGGAGGGGTCCCTGCTGTAGGCTTGGCAGCAGGCTTGGAGATGGAGGGCCCTGCTGGTTTCTTCACAGGAACATCTTTCTTGGGAGGCATGATGTCAGGTGGCCAAAGGACAGTGTGCGGATGGGGGCACCCATCTCTGTTTAAATAGGCAGGGAGTCTGGGATGTCACGGGGCGGGGGCAGGGGCAGGGGCAGGGAGCCAGTTGGCGGTGGCAAGGGTGAGGGACAGGAGAGTTGTGCCTGTCTGCCTTCACTCCCCTGGCCTCCTGTAGTCCAGGACTCCTGCCCCAAAGTTTTCCTCCCTCTACTGCTCCTCCCCCAAAGCTGGCCAGAATATTGTTTCCTTTAAGGGTAGGGGGAAGAAACAGGAGACTTCTCAACCTCCCGGGTAAGAATAGGATGCTTGCCAGTGATACTGAGATAGGAGCGTGGGGGGGGGGGGCTGAACAAACAAAAAACCGGCATTAGCTTTAGACTGTAGAAGGCCCAGGCAATGGAAGGATTTGTCGATGGGGGGGGGGGGGGGGGGACTGGCCAGTATAGGAGCCTAGTGGGAAGTGGGAAATTTTTAAATAAGTTCTGGAAACAGTAAAGGGTGGTGGCCGGGCGGTGGTGGCGTACGCCTTTAACCCCAGCACTCGGGAAAACAGAGGCAGGCGGATCTCTGTGAGTTCGAGGCCAGCCTGGTCTAGAGTGAGTTCCAGGACAGCCAGGGCTGCTATACAGAGAAATGATGTCTCGAAAAACAACAACAAAAAAGGTGGTGAGGTCTTTCCCCTCTCTTCTGCCCATTCCCATAGTTAATGATCATTAGAACACGTAGACCCTGGGCCCTCACCTACCCCCAACCTGGAACTATGCACAGCAACTAGAACATGACTTCTGCACCTAGTGCTGATTTAGGGGTGCAGGTGTAGACAAGGTTTAGGTTTAACATCTGCCACACATACTTCCAGAGAAAGAACGTTTTTTCCCACAAGGTACTGTTGTTAATCAAATCAGACAAAAGGCTAGGATGCCTAATGAGCTTGGAGGGAACACACACACACAGACACAGACACACACAGACACACACACACACACACACACACACACACAGAGGAAGGGAGGGCTTTGGGAGACAAACCCGAGCCTAGATGCTCTGATCCGAAAGGTTACAGGATCTCCTACGGGTTTCATGGGTATTCCCACACCCCAATTAGGAGCATAATAAAAAACAGAGCACAGCTTTGATTCACAAACCTTGCTGGAAGCTGTGGCAAAGAGAAGAGGTGTTTGGGAGCTAGAAGGAGGTCCTGGCCCCTCTATTCTCGGAGAAAGAAGATTTAGGTAGCATTCTGAGAGACTGGTCATTCCAGTTAGGCCCTGGGGATCTGGGAGTGATCCTGTGTCTCAAAGGGCGTCAGAATCTTTTCACTGCAAATTGCCCCATTTTTTTTGGAAAATAAGAAATCCTTCTGCAGACAACACACCTGTTTCTCTTATTCGCACTCCTAAACCTCAAGAGGGAAAAGGCCCACCCAACCCTGCAAAACTCACCTTGCCGGATGCGAGGAAGGGGCGGGGGAGGGGGGGGGCGAAACGCAGGGCTGCTCCGGGCCCTGAAGGGTTAACGGCGGAGCATGCCGGGAGTCGTAGTCCCTGCGCGCTCCCTGGCTCTCCGGAAACCTTTTCTCCAGCGGTGGGAGGTGGCGGTCACTTCCGGCCTGCGGTGGCGGTTGGTGACTCAGGCTCCGCCGTGGTGCGCGGGTTCCGGAACCGGGAGAGCTTGAGGCGTCCCCGCCCCTGGGTCCAGGGCTGCGGGCCCGCGGGGCGGGGCGGGGCGGCGGCTGCACCGCGCTGCACTGCATTGCTTGCCCTTCCTCCCTGCTTAGCTGCGGGGTGCCGAGCCCGCGGGCGGGGTGCTGTGGCTGGAAGCAGTAACTTGCAAAGTTCTGAGTTTTCTTTTTTTCCCTTTTCATGTTTACGTTTGGTCTCAGGAAGCCGGTCCCTGACGTTAAGGTGTTTAGGTTTGCAGTTGAGCCTGGTGGCCATCTGCCCCGGACTCCAAGGCGTGCAGGCTTCCGGGGAGGCCCGTGCACCGCGGTCTCCCCCGGGTGCTCAGAGATGCCCTCGAAATGCAGCGCCGGGCCCTGCAGCCCTTCCCTTCCAGACCCCAGTGCCCAGCCCGAGCGCTCGCCCTCCCTCCCGGGCGTTCACCGGAGCTCTGGGTGCAGAGCGGGCACCGGACCACCGTCCCGGGCCAGATGAGTAAATACTCTGGCCGGGTGCCCCGTACGAGAGCTTGTGAAAGCGAGTGGACCAGAAATAGCTCAGGGTAGAAAGCTCCCAGCGGCGACGTAGGGAGAAGGAGGCGCGAGCCAACTTGGTGGCCAGAAACGCACTTTCCCAGGCTGGAGAAAGCTCCGAAAAGTAAGGTCTGTAGGGGTGCTGGGGACAGGGGTGCTGGGGACGTAGCTCAGTTGGTAAGAGTGTTTGCTTACCAAGCTCAAAGCTCTGGGTCCCGGCACTCAGAGAGGTGGAGGCAGGAAGAATCAGGTGTCGTTGACCTTACGTCCAGAGTTCAAGCCAGCCTGGGCTACCCGGGATACAGTCCCAGAAAAGAGAAAGGAAAAAACAAATTAACGTGATATAGGAAACAGTATTCCTAGGCTCTGCTCCTGAGACTGGGGAGTGAGTGACCTCTCCGGGGTCACTTTCCGTGGAGGTGATAAAAGAGTTTGGGCTTGACCAGCCTGTACTCTCATTTGGCCCTCTCATAATTAGACATGTTAACATTTTTAAGGTTTGTTTCTCTATTTATTTATTGAGGCAGGGTCTCTCTACATAGCCCTGACTGTCCTGGGACTCACTGTGTA